CTTGCATCTCTTTCAGCCTTGGGCATCACTAGTCCTGATGGCTGCTTCCAGGACTAAGGGTTGCCTAAAGCCGCTTCAGTCCCACAGTTTGCAATTCATGTACATTTATGTATGTACGCTAAGCCGAAAGCAAATATATTTGATCAGACTAGGAAAACTATTTCTTCCAATGCAATCTGAAGAATACGTCACATAGCAGATTTTGACGACACCACACAGAGGAAAAAATGAATCCAGTTGAAAATAGTGGGTAAAATGTAAACTATGCCTATACAAATATCCTTCCTTTTTAAGGTCCACTTTCAACATTGCTTGTGAATGTAAGGGAATTTCAGCTGGGCACAATGAAAATTCCTTGCATACCATGTGTACGTTTTCTAGATGAACCAGCTATTTTCCCACACGCATCTATAGTGATGTTTTTAACGTGACCATGGTGCTTAGAGATAATCAATATTTCTTCAATTCTGTGTCTTTTTAAAAATCTGAACCAGAAAGCACATTTTTTTAATTGTATAAACATGTACCATTTCTGAAATGTTACACAAAAAGACAGTTAAATGAAAAAAAATGGAATTAGAATTAGAAAATTATACCTACAAATTTTACAATTAACAAATATGCTTTGAAGAGTCATGTAAATTTCTGCTTGTGGGATGAAAAATCTAAAAAAAAAAAAAAACACAAACCTAAACCAATGATGAAGTACCACACCGGGCGATGGTATATTTTTGGGTATAGGCACGTGGTCGAATTATTATTTTTTTTTCATTTTGTGTAGGAGCCTAGTATAAAAAGTTTTATTTAAGAAATTTAGAGCTGAATATTCTGAGGCTAGATTTCTGCCCCCTCCCCCCACCCCCCGCTCCCATTTTTATGAGCATCTTTGACGCAGAATACCCTGAAAACTAATATGAACTAATTTGTCTGCAATATCTCCCACATTAAGCACTATAGAAAGCACAGTCATTCTGCAATTGCTGAGCAAATTCCTTGTGAATTACAGGCTGCTTTCTCATTTAAGGTCATGTGCTGAGGGAACGCAGCTCCCTAAATAGTGAGGTTTTTGTTTGGCTATTCATCTCCTGCAGCAGCTCTTCTAAAAAACATGGTCAAAGGCAGAGAGAAACAAGTAGGAAGTAAAGCCACAGTTTCTCATGGAGAGATTTCATCCATAGAAACAAAGCCTCTCCCAAGGATTCTGCTCTGTATACGCTCCCCACGGGCCCTCTAAAAGCCTTGACCTGTCACATTAGCAGCAGCTTATTCTTTTTCACTAGCCCACTCATAACCCCTCCACAATACAGCAGAGCAACAAGGGAGATGGAAGAACCTCCCCCACTCCCTGCTTTTTTCTTTCATTTCCTCCTCCTGTTCCTCCCCCCCCCCCCCCCCCCCCCCCCCCCCCTTTTTTTTTTTTTTTAATTTAGGACAGCAAGTAGCTTACAGTGCAGTTTGTCCTGCGAGCCTGCTCCATTTACCAGAGCGGATTGAATGTTCAGGCAGGTGTTCTGATAACAAAACACTGGCTGGCCCCTCTCAGGCAGCACTGGAACAGTGCTGCAGAAGGAAAGTAGTAGCAATGTGATGTGCCTGAAAGATAAAGTGTTACCACTCAAATCTTCCTCCTGCAACAAACGCAGCTCCATTGCCCCGCTGTCCCCCACCCCTGCACTTGAACTCTGTCTAACAGTGAAAATTAATTAAAAAAAAAACCAATAGCTATCACTTCACTGAATGGTCTAACGGCTATTATGGGAAATACATTCTGAGGAATCCTTTTTGTGAAAAAAATGGTATCCCATTCTTTCAAGAGCATAACTACATCTTTTGTTAAATATTCAAATATTTTCAGTTCAGCTTTTAATAGTTTTGTTGTTCTTATGTTAAACAGATAACCAGGCACCCTGTTTTCTACTCACTTAAAAATACTAATTGTGACAAGGACAATATTAAGTAATCTCTTACAGATAGTTTATCTTAATCCCACTGGATTAAGTGGGATTAATCCCAATGGTCTAGACTCCGTTAATTTCCACAGGAAGAAAATGGTTCTATGCTGTTCTGTTTTAAAAATAAAATAGAGTTTAAAGTATAGTTGATATATTATAGAACAATTCTTCATATAGAATTAATCTGTAAATAACATGATAGTGAGTGTGTCTGTGTAGACACTCTGTGATAGAGTCTGTGGTAAGGAATTCCTCTTTTCTTTAAATGAGACACTTTTAACTGCATGGTAAGAAGCTCAGGTACTACTGTGAAGACTGCTTTAGAAACATTTAATGGTGCAGTTTATAAAATGTTTAAAAACAGGCCCTAAAATCTAAAGCTTTTAGGATAAGTCAATGGAGAGCCCACTGTTTCTATATTATTTTTCTTAATCCCTCATTTGATCCTTGGCCCAAGTAATTCACTGTGAACCCTTGCATAACACTCATCATCTGTTCTACATCCTGCCTTCTTTTTGCACGTATACTTCTCAGATTTCAGTGGGAATTTGCAGTACAGAAAATGTACAGAATAGGAAATATTAATATTATACATTTGTAGAAACGGCATATAAAGACGTTTCTGTGACTCTTACCTGTTGTAAGTACGGACCAATATTTAGTATCAGTAATTAATACTGCTAAAATGATATACCGCAGACTGTCTTCTGAGATGACTTTTTTGCCAGCTAGACCTTAGTGCACATTTCAAAGAGGTTCATCAGGACTTCCTATGGTTTTGGCAGCATAAAATAAGTAAATTGGACTGTTAGTTGACCCTTTCAAATAGCATATGGCAATAACATGTCTTGCAGCACTACAGCCTGCTTCAGGGTAAGAAAATGTTTCTGGCTGACCTTGTAGCTTAAATTCTGCTCTCAGATAAGCTTACATTGGTCCCACTGTGTTTAGAAGAGTTTTTGCTCGTTTCTGAAGGCAGAATTTGATCCTATGTTTATGAAGTCAACTAACATATTCTCTTGAGAAAAATGACTCCTATTTTCCCCACCTTCTTTTGAACTGCAGATACTTTTTCATACCACATTGGACACATTTCTCAATGCACAGTCACAAAAATTAAAGTGGTTAAGTAAGGATTCAAGAAAACTAATCCTGTCAACTGATTTTACACAGAAAAAAAGAGCATATGTGGAAAATCAGACTTACGTCTGACATTCAAAAAGAACAGAGCCCTTATTTGGCAAAACACTGACATGTAGCTAGCAAACCAAATACAGCTCTGGTGTAATTTATCTGATTGCAATAGAGTTGATGCTGCTAACTCCAGAGGTGAAGTTAGCCAGAAGTGATTACTCTGTAGACTATGCTGCTGGTGAGAGAAACTCTCTCATTTTCTGTTTGCACTCAGTTTTCACATATCTTAAAATTTCTATAAAAGTTTTTATTTTGAAACAAGTAAAAAAGCTAAAAATTATTCTCTTTATCAGATGTAAACTATCTTTAAGTGACACCATCATGAATAGATTAAAAATTGTATTATATACATATTTATCTGTATGTGTGCACGGGTGTGTATCTGTATGTGTATATATATATATATATACACACACACACACACAACTATACACACACCAGTGTAACTAAGCAGTCATTTAATCCAGTCATTTTTATTTAGTAATGAGGAAAAGCTAAGAGGCTAAAACAAACATATCAATGGAATTTAGTCAACTGAGAGAACTATAAAAGTACCATTCACTCTATTTAAGAGTATTTGAAGTTTCATCTATTGCCACAATATACAGCAATATTAATAGTTCAGTCACAGTTTTTGTCCATTCTCACAGAGCTTATCAGTACTAGCTACATGTGGAGTGAGATCAGTGCTTTGTCAGACCTGTTCATATCTACATTCTATGCCATAACTAAATAAATTAGAATACATTAAAGTGCTACATCAACACTAATGTTCCTGAACAGTAGTAATGCACATTTCTCTTTCAAAAAAATACAGCAGCTATAGTTTCAAACATAGTCACATTATGTGACTATGCTTACATGTCACTTTGTTACAGTATTCAACAAAATGCATGACAAAACCAAACAGCAACAATCAAGACTCTTACAGAGTACAAAAGGTAACTTTTAAAAAGTAGAAAAGGATGAAAATAGACATTTGCAGAAAACACACTGTCTTCAGAATTCACACTTGAAAGTTTCGTTTAATCGTAACTTGCTGATGTCGATATTTATTTCTTCTGGTTTGTCACGTCTGTATGTTACTGTTCTTGTACAAACAGTAGGCAAAAACATCTTATCCTTGAAGGAGAAGATACAATTTTTATCAACATTTCGCTAACTTTTTTTGCACAAGAAAAAATTACTGAATATGATGGCTCTGAAATCAATTACCTTCTTTGTTGCAGATACTCTGTAATCAGCTGAAGACTTAACTTTATTGCTATTCCACTGCAGAATTATCTGCCTGATGATAAGTACAGTAAGCAACCCAATCAGAAATGTAACTATAAAGATTATGGAAAAGATTCTAAAGTAGCTTCGTCCAGAGAAACATTCTGCAACAAAAGGAAAACACAAGTGTAAAGCCTAAAATATGGACTAGGCGCAGCCCTAAAAAACTTTTGTATTTCTCACTGCACATTAATTTAGCAAATTAACTAAAATTTAAATTGCATTTAAGTAACCTAAAATTTAAATTACATTTAATGTTAACTTAAATGTAACAACGTCTTGATAAAAGTTAAGGGAAAATAACTCGTGTTTGCCATTCGCAGGCTTTTAAAGTAGTATATTTCAAGAAATGCAATTCCAGTTAAGATGAGCTATAGAAAGAAGATCAAGCACTATTACTCCTTTAATCTACAGAACTAAGATTAAGGCTTCATTGTAGTAGCCACCATAAATTATCTGTAAAGCTATGAGTTTACAGCTGAAAAAGAGACAAATTGTTATAGAAGTAAGGGGCCAAGACAGTTTAATTTTCACAAAGTTATAGAGCTAATCACAGGCATACTGTGAGGGAGAACATGTTTTTTTGATTCCTTTTCCAATGCTCTCTCCACTGGCCATCCCTCTCACAATAGGCTTTCCTCTAATTAATACTATGCTCATGAGACTAGTATTCTCAATAAGTGTTATCATTTATGAGCTTCTGTAAAACAAAAAAAAACATACAAAAATGTCAACTGACAGAAAGTAACCATATACCTGCATTTTTGTTGTAGTCTGGACCTGGTTAAGATTTACAGGATTTTATTAAAAATGATTTTATTCTCTCACAGCTCTCATAAATGTACAGTTGTGTGTACTTGAAAGGCATACTTAAACATTACTGGAGCGAGGTAAGCATTCTACTTGATTATTCTTTGTTTCTGGTAATGTCAAATAATATAAACATATCCAAAGTAATAAAACATACAGATGCCATAATAGATTTTTATAAATATTTCTTTAAGCATTGATCCGGCAGGATTCATTATTATTAGATGCGACTTCTCAAGGAGCTGGGAAATCTGATGTAGCAATGCTTGCCAATCACATTTCCTGTTATTATTTATCTTCACTTTCCCTGAAGCTAGGAATGATTTTATTCTTTTTCCTGTTTTCTTTGTTATTGTAATAATGCTGACATACTTCTGAAAAACATTAAAACAGTGGTGAATTCTATTATTAATCCTGACAGATTTTCTAAAATTAGCTAGAAAATGTCACATACCTGAAGTGTGGTCAATATAATGCAACATGTAAGTGCATGAGGTCTTACACTGGTCAAGTACAGCTTGAGATGCGTTGTTAGGATAATGGCATTGAACACAATTCCTGTAAAAGAAAAATGTATTTAAAAAACCTTGTTTTTATCTGCACTTCCTTTGAAAAGATTGTATCAACAGGCTGAAGTATCATTTGCACATAATGTTTTCCTTTTGTTAGTAAAAACATTGCGACATTTATTTATTTTTTTCTGAAATGTGACGCCTCTCTCAGCATTTTCTCCCTGTGATACTTCTTAAAACCAATTGGTGAAAAGTAGTAAAATAACACAGATATCTTTGGCTTTAAGCCACCTTTATCTGGCCCCTGCTCTGCATTTTTTGATGTGTGTTTTAGGGTTGTAGCTAAGAACTCACCCCTTCTTCAGGTGTCAGCCTCTAATTCAGTCTTACAGCTCTCTCTTATCTATAGGGCTCAGTCTTACTAATTTCACCTCATAGCTCTGCAGAAGATGGACATTACAAATGATATTGAAAAAGCCTTGACTGAATTTTTAATGAAGCTATGCCACCTTCCAAATTTATTACGGGCATATATTTCACAGTCACTTTGAACAAGTCTGAGCCAGCAAGCATAACTGCATTTTATCTAGTGAAGTCACCTTTTTAGACCTGATCCAGCTTTTATCCCCAAGTATATTCACCAGATGATCTGTAATTCAACTGAGTACTAATAAATAATTAGATTTTGATCATGCTTCCCTTTCCAACTAAAAGCTGATCTGTCACCTTATCAACTACAGCGGGGTTCGGAAGATTACGTGCTCTCACAGGAGGGCCCAGAAGAACTGTGCCCAGGCACAGCATTTTATGTGCTCTTTAAACCAGCACCATCAGTGGGCCACCAACAGAGCAGTCTGAACTTCTCTGGCTGCTGACTTCTGCCTCCTCATTGCCCCTTCCTGGGCAGGGATAAAGAAAAATGATGTATTTTAAAACTAGCACAGCAAAAACTAAATAGTTTGAGTAACAGCCAATGTTGTCCTCTGAGTAAGACCAGTCTGCTCTGCCAACCCATGGGAATGGCAATGAGCAGGCACCACTCCTGTTCAACCTCCTCGCTTCGTTTGGGGAGCACAAGGAGTGGAATCATCAGTGACCTGTATGCAAAAACAAACATGGAAAACACTTTTGGATTTTGTGGCGTACAAGAGTAGGATCTAGTGTCCACCTTTAAAACTCCACAGTTATGAGTTTTATTTCCTACCCAGAGGATTTCATATAAAGAACCATTCTTTAATATATATGGCAAGACTATAGTATTACAAAGCCACCTTTATAAGACACACCTCCTTTAACTGTAGAAAGCTGAAAGTTGAACACAGATTGGTGAATACATGTGGGCATGCAGCTCTTAATTGCCAGTGCAAACCCCTCAAATGCATAGAAAAAAGTCTCAAGTAGAAATTTCAATTTCACGCAGGCCAAACACCTAAGAAATAATCAAGTCTAGCACAAGAAACATACCAGTTTTCTTCACAGGCACTGTTACAAGTAGGGCAATATTCACACAAACGACCAAAGCTTCTTGGATCAGTGCACTCACACTTTCCACATACACAATTTCCTCTTCCACTGCAAACCTGGCCCTTTGAAGTCAGGCAGTGTTTTGCTGATTGTGATGAACATTGGCAACGGTCACCTTCCCAGCCAGCAAAGCATTTACATTTACCAGCTTCACATTCACCATTACCTACAACATCAGATAATCTTAAATCATATGCTTTTAGGAAAACACAGAAAGTCGATTTTTATATGCATACATTTGTATCACTATTGCTAGAGACTTAAGGAAACTTAGCTAACAGAGCTAACTTAGACTTTGGCTTGCTAAGAAGTTTTTAAGTGTTACCACTTCAGCCTGAAATTTCCAGAATGATACATATTTATGCCTGCTGTTTGTTGCTATTTTGAGCAAAAGCTGTTACCTTATCTCCCGGTAAAATGGTTTACTAGAATTTTCCCTGCTGCCCTTGCATCAAAGCAGCTGGGATTAAAGATTATACAACTATCAGGAAAACAGTCTGCAAGCAAACTAAACAAAGTTCTCCTCTTTAGCAAGAAAGCATTAAATTCAAATAAACTACAAGATTTGGGGCAGAAGGAATTTCAAGTTCATGTCCATATGCCAGTTTGGATTTTTGTTTTCTTCTCACGAACATGTATTATAATAATACCTTTCTACCATTCTAAAGGAAAGAAGACTGAGCTGGATAGGTGGATATGCTGTATTTATGAACTGTAGCTTGTTTAATAAGAATTTAAAATGCACCGCCTCAAGGGTTCAAAGGCTATGAAAAATCCCTGGTGGCCTCTATATTTTTCTAGGCAAAGCAGTGGGAGCTTTAGGGCAAAGTCCATGTGTTTTCCATGTTGTATTACATTTAAGTAGGTGTCCAACTGACAGGCTGATAATGTTTATACACATTTTTTATAGGGTGGGAAAGCACCTTCAGGAAACAGAGAGTGCAAAAAGCATATGAAAATCTAACAAACCACATGAGATCTCCATTATGCCTTGGCAGTACCCAAATTTCACACGCACAGTGTGACAGTCTTTCTTGTGCTCCAGGGATTCACAAGCCAGCTGCAGATAGACAGCTGCATTTAACACATAGGATGCCCTAAACGGTAGTGAAGGCAAAGTGTAGGCTGCCCCCTTTTTTGGCTGGAGAGGAGGAGGAAGAGGCTCATAGGACAGTGCACTGCAAAGCTCTCCACTGCAAAACATCCCACTGAGAGGCACATTGCTCAACTGTGGCACTGTGGCACAGGTTCTCCTTGTGTCTCCACTAGGCAGGACTACATCATGCACAGGAACTTCCAGTACATCTTAGAAACAGATCTCCCTGCTTCTTCTTCTAACAGGCATCACATCTCAGGCTTTAGGAGTTTATAAATTTGAAAGGTCTGCTTATGTTAAGAAATACTAAATTTGCAAACCTAGTTGGTGCAGCGGGGGGAGGAGGAGAAGAGTGAGAACACAAACCATAACTCTTCGTGCTGTAATGAAGTATTTAAAGGATTATGTAACGTTATTTCTCTTCCTTTTACGCAAAGTTGATAGTCAGAAACAGAGCTAAACCAAAACAACTCTACTAAGGTCAATAGCATTACTCTAAATTTATCCCACTGTAGCTAAAAAATCTGTTGCTCAATTTACTCCTTGGTAAATATAGTGATGCAGAATAGCAGTACAAAATACTTAAAAAAATTACTTCCAAAGGAAAAAAAATATATATATGTTCTGGTACAGATACAGTAACGATGCTGATTCAGTCCCATTTTTCCTTACTAATATTACCTGAAAAGTACATGTTTTGTACTTGTTTCGCACACAATTTTCATTTGCATGCTTTTGTTTATGAATAGGAAGTGGGCCACAAAAAGGACTAAGGATTTCTAATAACTCTCCTTGTTTATGTGCCACTTAACACTGTCCATTACTTGAAGCAAGTGTTCTGGACACTGTTAACATAGATTAATACTTGATTTCAAATACTAAAAAATATCTCTGATGAGACTGATTTAGGATGCTAAAAAATCAAAACCTCATTTGGAAGTTAGGGTTCCTCATAATCTGCTAGTATCTTATGTTCCCAATTAGACTGAAATGCATCAACATATTTTCTGGAAAAATAAAACTGTCTTACCCAAGATATCAGTATTGTTACCTTTGAAGAATTTCGAGACTTAAGTGTTGAAATGGATAAAGTTACAAACAATCTCAGTAAAACCCCTAAAATGCAGTGCCAAAGTTTAGAAGACAATGCATAGATCTGCAGCTAAGAAAGCCCAGGATTGCCATTTTGTAATAGAAATCCTGCGTTTGGCAGCCTTATATCACTATTTCCAGCTGTCTAATGTATATAATACAAGCTTGAGAAACAAAACAAAGCAAAGCAAAACAAAACACAGACTTAAATTCTGCAGCTTACCAGAACACAAGCTTCCATGATGATACGGGCAGGAAAAATCATCCATTTCACAGTATGTGCCATATACCTTGCCCAGCTTGTTTTTGTAACAGAAACATTTGCCATCTATGCAGTCTCCTTGACCACTGCAGATGGGCTGGTCCTGGTGTGGTCTGCACCGCTCAGAAGCAAATGTATCTCTATTGGAATTACAGTTAGCGTCACTGCAATGGGATTGTTCACCATCAGGAAAAGTTTCCTCAGCACAAACCCTTTTGTGCCTTGCACTGTCTCCACACTGACAGGCACAGTTTTTATGTACATTAATGATGGTGGTTTCATTGAAACCAATAGGCTTAAGTATCACATATTTTCTTCCTCCAGTTGTATGACATCCTTTCATTTTAACAGAGACATTGAAAAGCACCTAAGAAGAAATACAGATTTTACATCATTATTATTTCCTATAAATTGCTTAAAATTTTCAACACATAAGTAAATCAGAATTTTACATTATGTATGTATGTGTACTAGGTAGTAAGGACAAAATACATGGTGGCTATTTGTGAAATATGACATACCAGTAATGACAAGCATCACAAATACAATTAAAACCCTAACAGTAAAAGAATGATAGCAGTCTACATTTCATGTTATGGAGGCATGACTGCAGAAAAGTTAAGTACAAGTTAAATACTCACAGAATTATCATTATTATTATCCTGCTTTTATTTGACATATCTATTATGTGCATATTATAGAAATACTCTGATCAGAATTGGGACTTGATGGTGCAAGACAATACGCACATTAGAAGCAGAGACACTCTTCCTAAAGGGAATCTATAATGAATGTTCCTGTTGCAGAAACAATCTGTGCCAACGTAAAATACACCAGATTTTTAGGACAGTTCTCTCTACTTCTACTAAAATAGAGAACTGGCTCAGGCCTTAGCAGCAGCTTGTTTTTGCCACTGAGTTTTTGCCACTTAGAGAGTAAGGAGAAGAGGTCACAGAGTGAAAGGTCCAAGTGGGAATCGAGAGTACTGCAATTAGCTGGCCTTGCTGCTCTTGCTGCAGCCCTGGGCATACAGCAAGTGCTGCTCTGAGAGAATCCAGCACCCATTCCCTAGTCACGTCCCCCTTCCACGGCTACAGCCACCAGCCCCTGTTTCCTCACCCCTGACAGTGTCAGCTGCAGCAGCAGCCCCCTTAGCTTTCTGCTGTTCTGGCATGGGACCCCGGATGATTTTGGTGCTCTAGGCAACTTCCGTTGAGCTAGCATCCATCCCTACCAAAACTCTTCAACATCTTTGACATCTGTAATACATTCACTGCAGAGCAATCTTTGTATTTGGCACTTGGGTTTTGTTTGTTTGTTTGTTTTTGACTGGTGGGTTTTTGAAAGGATCTTCTCAGTACAGCTTTTTAGCCTGCTGACTGAAAACGATTTTTCTTAGACTCCTCACAAAGCAAATATAACTAAGGAAAGAAAAAAAAAGAGAAAAAAGGTGATAAGAGAGCCCAAGAGAAGCGAGTATTTTCACTCTACTCTTTATCCTCTAAGAACAAAGATTTCTAAATCAAACAGCAGATATGGAAACGTAAGAACTGATTGCAGAAGAGGCTGAAACTATCCACAAAGACTATCCGCATTCATTTCTTACAGTCTTCTCCCCCTCCCGCCGCGCCCCCACACTAGAATAGCCAACCTCTTGTTTGACAATGGCATCTTTGTGATGAGCTGGGCTGTGGCAGCATACACGAACAACAGTAGAAGACTGTTGTGCGGAAAGGCATGCACTTCGTTAACTGTAGTATCGAGTGTACATAAAGGTTTTGTCACTCCCTTTTCTTTTCCTCTTTTTGTAAAAATGTGCCCCTATACACATACCTCTCAGCTGCCTAGAATCCCTGTGCATCAGACTTCCTCCATTAGGTTACAGGGCAAAAGTGTGGATATGCATTAATTCATATGGCAGGTGCACATCACGTGGGGAGGAAAGCCTGCAGCTAGAGAATGTCCTTTTTATTCAACACAGAATCCTGCTAGAAAATACAGTCTTCATGTACAATACAGTACTGGAAGAATGGCCGGGAAATGGGAGAGAAGGGCAAATAATATCTTGCACACAAGCCATGAAATTTGACAGATCTGAACACAGTAGCAGAAAGACTAAACATAATACAACTATACAGTTATGACAGTGTGAACATTGACACTCACTGACAGCCAAACTTAGTTTTGCAACCCCTAAAGAGGCCGTAGGACTCTTCCAGAATATAATACACTTTTGTGTTTTGGTAAGAAAAGGAAGGAAGAAGGATTAGACAATGAAAGGAATGTGAGAATTAAGGAAAAGCACTTTGCCTGCAAACAAATACTGAAAGGAGGATTTATGGTTAAAAATAATTTAATCTCTTGAGGATGGCTCATTTTCAACTGCTGTTAGCTTTAGGACCACATGTAATCTTTTACAATCAACTGGCTTGGCTTTTTATTAAAAAGAAGCAGATCTAAATATTTTTCTTTTCATTAAACAGAACAAATTCCAGTCCTATTTCTTATGACTTGCACAGGACACAACACTGTAGAAAAGATGAATTAAGAAGAAAAAACATAGCAAATCTCCTCAAACTGTATGAGCTAAACAGCAGCAAATCACGCAGACAAATTTAGAAACGTATAAAATACATTTCAATTAACATACTCAGAATTCACACATTTAATCTACTCATTTGTAAGGTTGTTTCTACACATAGACACAAATAACATCACATCAGCTGAGCCACGTGTACACGGCAAGAAGGAAAAAAACCTCTTGACCCTACACTCCAGAAACACAGACCTCTTCCTGGCAAGTAAAATGAGTTGCTCTGCTAGTCCAAGTAACCAAATAAATATATCAAGGCACAGAGAAGTTGTTCTGGGAAGAAAACCACATTCTTTATATTAGCCAGACGTCATCTTCCCCTGCATTTTCTCTGTGTGTGATATTCCAGTTTTAAAACCAATTTTATTCAGTAGGTGGCACTGGCCCAGACAGGGATAAGGCATTTTATGTATTTCATTTAGAAAATGCACTAATTATCCACACAGAAGACTACTTTATAACACACACAGAGTCAAAGGTGGAGTCTCATACCGATCCAAGGAGCAAGAATTCTAATGATCCTTTCCCACTGGGTGATTATCTTTCACCCTCTTAAAATACAAAACTCATCACAATGAACATCACAATTGTGTCCAGTGATGGACTAAGGAGGAGAGTTTCAATGGACGTTAGCTTTTGGGCAAAGCTTTGAGCCTTAGTTCTATGAGATTAGTGAGAATTAAAATAAGATTCAGGAAAAACAGAACCAGAGAATAATAGAGAGTCTGTGACCACAAATCACAAATATCCATTTTCAGTTGCAATAAATCCTTATAAGATTTAACACCATTGAAAACCAACCAAAGAGAAAAATAAGTATCTGAATTCCTTAAAGAATGAGAAATCTCAACATACTTCTTCATTATATCCCACATTTTTACATCCTTCCATGCCTGTTTTTTTACTTCCATCAGGACAGATTGCAGTGATATTGAAATTAAGATCTTGGATCTGGTTATCCACTTGAATTTTCACTTCAGAGATTAGTTTCTGTAACAAAAAAACAACTTTTATTCGCATTGCATCCCAACATATAATGTGCATTAGCGACTAACACCAAGTACTGCTACTGTGTCTGATTAAAAACAAAGAAAGCTTATCTGTCTCAATAAAGGAATGAATTCAAGTATTGTTTCTCATATAAACACCCAGTAACATTCCAAATATACACAACCAGTGAACTGGCAATTCTGAAATTATATTTTCCACGTATAAACATTTTCAGCTATTTTATGTGGTTTTGGAACCATATTTTGATAATTTGAAAACCTATTCTAAAAACCATGTGTAACAAAAACTGGTTTTTATTTGAGAGGCAGTACTGTCCTTTAGCCATATATTTAAAAATAAACTGTAAATACTGTAGTATTACAGCAATGTAATGTACAATTCTATGTACAATCTACAATTCTGTGTACAATAGTACAGCTATTCTTAAGCAGCAGAAAAGATTCCTAATTGACTTGACACTTTAAACTTCTGATATTTTGCATCTTGGAAAAGTTTCCTCTGAACAAACCTCAGGGAGATCTAAAGGTTACTGGGGTTATTCTTAGTGATTTATTCAGGTAAGAACTAAGACTGCATAAATCAACAAGTGGTTGATTCTCATCAGGGCTTTTTAGAATATAAAATAATGAAAAAAATCAAAAATTCTGCAAAAAATATTTGCTGTGTCCTCTAAAATTCAACTTACTAATTATGAAAGAAATAGTACTTCTTGACCTCTTATAATTTATTAAAGCTGGTTGTACAAACTGATGAACTGAAAACTGCATAAAGAGTTTATTAAAATTCCTTACATTTTAGAATTAAAAAAAATCAGTTCAGTGGGATATTTTTACTTTTATAAATGGAAATTTAATTACATGAATCTGAACATATGTTTATCTTAATGACTTTTTGAAAAGTAGTGAGTCATCTTTGGCATTTTAGCCAGGGATTTTCAGCCAGGGTTTTCCGCAACTAAGCCAATAGGTTTCCCTGCTTAGAACAAAAGTGCAAGAGGCCCACTATCATCTAACATCAACACTAAATTTATTTTCTTATGTACGTACTTTTGTTTTCAAGAGAGTAAAGCATTCAGGCCTGGTTCACCTTGTGTTTGTAAATTACAGGCCACTAAAACCATGGAAAAAAAATGAAAGTATCAAACCCGATAAAATTTAGGATGAGAAGGAAGATGATGTCTAAAAAACGAAAATAAGGCAAGAGCAAAGAGTGGGTGGCCAAAGCAGGAAAGTCCCAAAGAATCTTCTATATAACTAAGTGATTATTTTGTAAATTTTCATTTCCTTTCCTTGAATGTTTGCCCTACATTGTCCTCTAGAAAGTGGGATACAATTTAGGATGGACAATGTAAAAGTGGTAGTTTAACAAGAAATAATGCATTCATCCTGTAGTATGCAAAAGGACCATAATCTTCGAAAAACTGAGCCAGCAATATTTCATGATTTCCTGAAAACTTCTATGAGTAGTAAAAGACATCGGGCTGGGCTCCTCATTATGTCAGATCTGCTGAAAACATTCAACTTCCTAATCAAAGCAACAAGTGACTTTATATTCTTTACTATCCTATTACTTTCACTTGTGAAGAACTTCATGTGAAAATTCACAAAGCTATTTCTATTGCTCTCTCTCAGGTCCCTATCAAAACTCTCCTTCACTGCAATGCTGCAAAAATTTGAGCCATTAGGCTGCTGGTGTGACATAAATGCTGCTTTTCATGATATTCACCATTGTCCAAACACCTCCTTGCAAATTCAGACTTGCTGTCTGTTTCTAAGACCTGTACTGTAAAACTCTCTAGGCACTGGAGTGCCCTTTTTTCTCTAAATTTATATGGTGCCTATACAATGATGTATGGTCCATAACTACAGACCTGAGATGCCAAATTACATATAAGTAAGTCAGATATTTCTGCGAAGTAACATGACAAAAGCGCAGAGAATCAAATAGCATATTTAGGGGCATCCTTAGTAAAGAAAGCAGTGCTAGCTCTTGGCTTTGAGAACCAACAATCTGGGGATTTGAGAGCCATCACAAGATAGTTTCACCTACCATCCTGGATATTCAGAAAAGTAGAAAGCCTATCCTCATGGACTCCAGATAGGAGTCAAGACCCTTCTAGGTATCCATGAAAATTCCAGTTTCAGGCTCTCCATTACTAAAGGTGAAAAATCCTTGTACAAATTCATTATATATACATCATATATATGTTATATATACATATAGTCATTCTAACCATACCTGATAGGCTTCTACCACCAAATCATTGAGATTTGCTGCTTGTGATTCTATCTGTCTTGCAACAGTACCAGGCAACAGAGGTAACAGATCCTAAAAAAAATATAATCATTTATGCATAGTTTTTATTTTTAATATAAATATTGTTCTTCTAAAATTATGGAAAAAATTTTCAGGTTTCTAACCTACTTTATACCAATGAAACTGGCTTCCTTGAACTGCGAAAATAACATTGATGTTATTGTCAATCAACTTTTCAGAAAGCTGCCCAAGTGATGGATGCTCCTGCAAAATACAACAGACCAGAGAAGACTGCAGTTTAGTAGAAAAAACCTTACATTTGATATGTTATGCTATACAGGATTCCAAAACCACCCTAATCCTTTCTTTTGAAATTTACAGAGGAATCCTAGGTCTACATCCAAACGACGGTGGGACCAACCCAACAGACAAACCATGACAAAAAATCATCAGGCCATCAGCTAGATTGTGACTGGCCTATCTGTTGCCAGCTACACTGTGGTGCTGCACACTTGGAGGACTCACTGAACTCTCTTCATATGGTACCATTTTGTTGGTGTTGAGTCTGGTGCTTGTGAAACAGCAACTGGATATGGCATTGCCTGTGTTCTGTCTAGGATAATGACGGAACTCTTGAGAACAGTAGGAGGGCTCTTGCACTAATATTAGGGAGAAAAAATGACATGGGGCACTGAGATGAGGTGTATTTTGGGGAATGGCAAGGCTACTGAATGGCAGAGTAATTAGAGTTTGTTTCCTAGATATGTATTTTGGCACTAGGGATGAGATACATCAGTTCAGCATAAGCACTGGCCCAGGCTCTAGCCATCTCAATAGTCTAATCTTATTTGTGACTGATACCTTTCTCCTATCCTTTTGTGTCTAAGACCTGCCTTGGCAGTGATGCCTCTAAGTCCTCACAGCACAGGTCTGCTACGTTTTCTGAACCACACTTGTGCTTGGTGCTTGAAAAAAGTGGCATGAGTTTCATGTTTTTCCCCAATATTTCCTCTTATTTGGTGAAGTGTCTATGATGGTATGTCCTATGCCAGTGACAGTGGTATGACCTGCTGGTCATTTGTTGCTGGAATGAGAGATCTGACACTTGGATTTGGAACAAGGGGTATGTTACTATCCCCTAATCCAAGAGTATGGGGAAGCACAAAGATGTCTAGGTGGTCTCAGTGGGCTTTGTACATCTGGGCCATGTGAGATCTTTCCAATTCTGGTATTCTAAAATATACTGTACCTGCAAGTTATCATTGCTTTATTACACATCTGTGACTGCTTCTCAAAAAGTAAATTCAACACTTAAAATTCATGACTGACCACAGAGCAGTGGTGGGGGCCTTGGCCAGTATTACCCCTTATAGAGATGTCATCTGGACACCTGTCCATTTGTGTTGAGCCCTTCAACCTCTTTCTGCCTCATATACTTCTGCTGTCCTTCTGTCCCTGACTTTTTTCATCATCCATCCTCTATTCTCTCACTCTCTCTCTGTCTTTTGCGCACACACTCTCTCTCTCCCTCTCTTTTCCCATTTTCCTGAACGATTCATTAGTTCTCAGAGACTTCATTGCTATTCAAGGCGCTCTGCAAGTCAACTGCTATCCTAACAGTAATTCAAATGCCAGGGCAGCAGACAGAAAGTTATGTAAGGGGGTAAAATCCATTTTCCATCATATTCCACCATTACAAATAGCCCACTCTAGAAAGAACTAAAAAGTCTCCTGCTGCAGTTTGATCTTAGCCAGGGTCCACAGATCTCACAAGTTTTTTACCCCTTAGTAGGAGACTGCATTGCTTAATACAAGTGATTAAAGTTAGGTGACACAGCAATACATGGGCCTTCTTATGGTTGCAGCTGGGGAATTGTGCACAGCACAATTATAGATGAAGCTCAGTGGCCCTGTTGCCGTTCTCAATAGCCTGCAGCACAGTACCGAGGCTTCCTTCCTTCTCCATGACCACAGATGATAGTGCTGAGGCCTCATCTGTGCTCCGTAACCCTGCATGCCACATGCACCTGTTTTGGCAGGTCACAGATGAAGCAAGTGGGTTCCAGGGCATGGAATAGCGAAGCCAGATCTTCGGCTACTACCTCCTGCCTTGTAAATATGTGAAAGACAAGGACAGTGTTGAGGAATCGTTAGATGGTAGTCAAATAAATAAGTCTCCTGCTTAACATATGACAGTAGACATGTCTGAATTCCAGCAAAGTGACTCTTCAACATCTGCAACTAATGGCAAAAATCTTGAGATCAGTGGTATCAGAACTGGGTTTCCAAGCCCTGATGAAAAAAATACGTATTCTGATGGAGATTACTGAAGACAAGAGATGATATTGCTTGCCATAAAAATCTTGCTATGCTTTATGATTTTTTCTCTTATCTTTTCCCACTGCCAGTCAGGAGAATGTATTCTCATCTTCTTTCCTGTTCCAATTACTATTTTAACCAACTGTGTTCTTAAGCTGAGAAGATAACTAATACATGTGTTAAGTATTTCAGAAAGGTGAGTGAGCTAAGCACATATCTAACTAAAATGGACTATATTTCTGTCCTGTCTTATGCCTTTTTGCTGACCTTTGGACAACTACTTAACAAAAGTTAGGAAGAAGACAGTCAGAAAAGTGACTAACCAGAAACCTTTTTGTTTTATAGGTTAAGTTTATGCAAAGATAAAGCAAAGTCCTCTTAACTGGCAGAACAAAGAAGATGCAAAAATATGCCAAAATGCCATCTGATCTATAGAAGCAGAAACTAAGAATGAAGGTATGAATATAGTGTGAGTACAGACAGCTCTTTAATTCAGCATATCACATCAATGACATTCAATTTAAATAGATTTTTGTTTGTTTGATTTCCTGTTTTCTCTTGTTCATTTGAAACTCCAGCTTCTTTCTGTTTCTTTATGAATCTCTGGCTATTGAGAATATGACTAAAATAATCACAGGATATATGACACTGAGGAGCGGGAAAAAAAAAGCAGGAAACCAGTACACCTACCCTTGTAGCCATTATTGTATTATCACGTCAAATCTAGTCCAGAAAATATCTGATACTGAGAAAGAGTGCCACTCTGCTCCTTCTCTATTACAAAAATTTACATGTTGGCACACAAGAATTACTCTGTGGCAGAAAAGAAATAGGGCCTAGCAGCCAACAAACACACTGGCCAAAATGTGCCACCATAGAGCTTTGCCTCTTTCAAGGTCATTTCATTTGGATGGCTCAAAAGACTACCTAATTTCACAGAAAGCATCATAGCAATAATCATGGAGGTTTCTTATTCTATATGGGACAGTAAAATCATGATTCCTCAGTTCTGAATCCAGAAAATCATTTAAAACTTTCTTCAGTCAACCATCCGTCATTGTTGCTTAGACAGAGATTAATTCATTTTTTTGTTATTTTATATTGGTTCGTTTTTTCCAGCTGAGATAGAAGATTATTTCTCAAGCTGGACAGAAAATAAAAAGAATGTGTTTTGAAACAGATAATATCTTTATTATCAAAGGAATCCTGAACACCAGAGAAAGATTTCTATCTACAGCAAGTGTTTAATAACCAGAGCCAAATTCCTCTCAGTTACTGTATTGCAACTCCTCTGTACTGGAAAAAAAAAAAGGAAAAGAAAAAGATTGCATCAGTCACTCTTTTAAAAAAGGAAGAAAAAAGATGGGGAGACCATAACCTATAAGTATACTCCCCTTTGGGAGAGGAAAGTTTCTGGATTACTTGCCTTAGGTAGAATAAAGGAAGGGGTGTTTTAATCACAGGAACACTGTAGCAATACTGAAACCAAACAGACTAGCTAGAGGGAAATAAATAATTCCGACATCTAAGAAGGAATGTTCAAAAGGTGTCAGAGGGAGTATATTAATGTAGAACATCAGATAATTGGAAATCCAAACAACCTTCCTGTCAGCTTATGCTGAACTCCCTCCTCCTTTCCGAAAGGTTCTTAACACCCACCTATTCCAGGAAACCTTCCGTATTTCATGATCACACACTGCCCAGCAGCTGCTTACTGCTGCCTCGCCATCCTTGTAAATATCAGTCGTTTGGACTAAATTCAGGCCTAGCCTAACTTGCACGTAACCCTCACTGACCACACTAGCACATTCCCAGCTTGTATCAGAACTGAACACCAGCTGGGGCCTTTAGCAAAGTGAAGTTAGCACTGGGAAGAAAACTGTAATGTCCTCTCATTGACACCATAATTTATATATCCATTTTCTGATTATTTGATGATTGCATAGCATAAAATTAATGATTCACATTTCTTGAGACTTAAAAAATAGTCAATGCAATTAAATATTACAAATCTCAGAAAAAAAACCTTTCTTAAACCGCTCATGACTATTTTAGCCTTCTTGAAGAAATACTTCTGCAAGCTAAAAATATCTGCTGATATCATTTTGCAAGAATAAATTTGATGACATTTTTTGTACAGGTATCAGACATTGGTTTTACGTTATCATATACTGGTTTTATACTGAGATTCAAATATGTTTGATATTATATTAACACAACAAAGCTCTGTGGCATAAGAATATTTTCTAGTCCATCAAGGTCGAATTAGTTCATTGCTATTGTACAACTTCTGTTTTGCTCCTACAGAGCCTTTTCTATTAATGAAACTATGCGTCTTCTGAACGTAAAGCATAACCACTACTTTGGTCTTACTTGCAGAACCATGCAATTATTACATATTGCCAGCTTCATATCATGGAAAATATCACAACAGAAAATTCTTCCTCATATTTTATAAGAAACATACATGATTTTTATGATATGATAACATTAAAAAAAAAGACATCAAGAAATAATAATGTATTCTCCTCTGCTGCATACTGCTGACTTGGACTCCAAAATACTTTATCGCAGGTAAAAAGAATGTCACTATTTCCTGGCAATTGATTCTTCATTTCACAGCTTGCCTAGCTGGGCTAATATTATTCTAATAACTGAAGTAAAAGTAATGCATTAACACCAATCTACATTTTTTTCTACATTTTAACACTGCTTCCCTGAAGGCAGAATACGATGTATACCTTACCATACTTGTAGCTTTGACATACACATTATCTTTCAGATGGCAGTTTCCATCATGGGGAATTACTATCCCTGCTAATTTACTATCAAGGGCCAGATGGGAAGTTTGATCTGTCATCACAAGAAGTAGTCGCTTTGCTTCTTTGCGCCATCCAATATGACTCTAAAAACAAAACAAAAATAAGCATAAGAAAGCAGTAACAACCTATTTTCTAAAATAATAGAGAACAATATGAACGTTTAATGTAAATTCATAGATACTGCGCTACTTAGGAGCACTGAGTTTAAACAAGGATATTTAAAACATTCATTCTTTTTTTTTTTTTGTATATGTATATCATGCCCTAAGTCTGCAAACTACTTCTGTGAGTTAGAGATCCATTTACTACGTTCTCTCCTTTTTGAAGAGAGATCCCTTAAAATATATACAAGTTATGCATTATATAGTGGGCTTGGGCAACAGCTGCCACTTTATGTGTGTCTCTTATATACAAATGCAACTGCATAGCACTTGTATAATTCTCTAAGATCTATAAAGCATTGCAGTCTTTATTGAGATCACCACTTGGCATCCTCTTTCATTTTTTCTTGCTGTTTTCTTGAAATTCTTGTCATCCCATGATTTTCTTTTTCTACATGACTTCCCAGAAAGGACACTCACATATGATCAACCAATGAATAAACTAAAGCTTGAGTGTCTTCATCCACCTACAAACTGAGAAATCTCTTATTATGCACCAAAAGACTATGCACATCCACCACCTAAGAGGTTAATGACATAGAGTCATCAGTAAGGGTGAATTTAATGTGCTTTAGGAATTCAGTAATGTGGAAGAGCTAGCAAGGTAAGCTTATATCTAAACTGGGTTGGGTGCCAACTTGTATTGCCATAAGATTTATTTCCCTGCAAGGAATAAATGTCTGCTTAAAAATCAAACTTTAGAGAGGCTCACATGAACCCCATCATATGCTTTTTAATTCTTCCTCTAATTTTCTCCATTTTTTCTTCAGTGATTCCACTTCCTCCTCCTTTTTCCTTCTTCCTTGTTTCTCCTTCCTATAACTCTGTTGCATCTGTGCCACTTCCCTTAACACTTCAGTTATCATTCATCTCATGTGAAATGTGTCTGCAATCCAGCCCATATATTCAGCGAGGCTGCGTAAATTATTTGCTACCCTTCATTGCTTTGCTTTCCAGAAAGGGCTTTATCTCCTTTTTCAGACTCATTACTTGCCAGCTCTGAATGAGGAATAACAGTAGTGATAATAAGTGCAGAGGGTGTGGTGTCTTTTCTAGCTTATATATTAGCCACGAGCCTGATTCAGCCAATCCTAGACAGTATCACCCTAAAGAGGGAGTATTTTAAGTTTTATTTATAAATAGATTATATCTTAAATAATCCCAAATTCCATACCAAATTCTTCTCCAGAAATGTAGAACCTGCTTGCTCCTAAGACTCCACCATTTCACTTTGTCAGCTCAGTACTCCTACCTACATACATCATAGCAACCAAAATTTTAAGTAGCTTCATGTCTTAACCTGCTACTGCTTGCAACAGGGATGTACTGGTTGCAGCAAGTTGGAGAAAGTTATAAAGTTCTATTGTAGGCAAAATGAGCGCACATTAATAATATAAGTTATCGTTCACGATGGTAGTTATGAATTGCACATTGTTCTCATCCATTTTGGTTCACAATTCAGTCAGCAGGAAAGCATTCCCATTCTCATGAATATTTCTCTTTTATTGTTTTTGGAAGCATACGTTATTCTCAAACTTGAATGTCATAAATGTGGAATCTGTCCAATGACAAACACTAAATTTTAAGGACTATTTCTAGTGCTTCAGAGTAATTTTTATAACAGCTGTGATCAGTGTCTGTGAAGAATGGCTTTTATTCACCTGTTTTACAGCTCATCAAATTTTGAAAATAAAATTGGGGCCAAGCCATTCATTTTTAGCATAGTTTGGATTCCTTTTTGGTCTTAACTCATTCTACCGCTCCAAAAAAGAATGTGAAGATGGGCAAGATAAAAGAATTACACTGATATTATCCCAAGGGACTAGAACCACACCAAAATCCTGTAATTCAGATAGGAGTTGAATCACTTAATGCAAGAGGACCATAAAGAGTATCTTATAAAGCACTACTTAACCCACAAATCAGGTGATTTAGAAAATTTCTATCGCACTGCTAGGCATACAAGGAAAAGGACATTCAGAAGAGCCCTTTGGAGCAGACAAATTCTTACTATTTAATATGCTTACAGCCTGGGATCTACTGATGCAGATATTTTTCATCCCTTTCTACATGGGAGTGATGGTGATGCAACTCTTATCAATATATGAAAGTGAAATTTCAGTTGATTTTTATGTAAATATGAACTCTTTAAAAGCAGAGATTACACTGAAGTGCATTTGTTTTCAGCATTTATGCAAGGAGATAAATAACTGACCCTTCAGTTTTCAAATACACTGTTAAGTAGAAGATATCAGAAATGTCAAATGGTATGTCTTTATTTAGGAACAAAAAGAGAGCTTTAATGATTTTTTTGAATTTTGTAATGGTTTGAAAGTAATATATGTGTCTGTTTAAGCAAGAAGCAGTTACTTTCATGATCCTAGTGCTCTGCCGGTTAGGTTGAACCAAAAAGGATAAAAATAGACTTTGACTCTGGAAGTAAAAGCAGGATTTTTAGACAAACATGCTTCAAAATGCCACACTATAAAGGACATCATTAACTAGTATTGAAAAAAATTTCCTTGGGCTATCCTTTTTCACTTTCAACTGGAAACAGATATGTGAAATAAGAAATCTTACTATTGTCAGGCACTGAACTGACATTTAGAATTCAAGAACATCGAACACAGACGTACTGAGATATATATCCATGCCTGAGTTACCATTTGGTCTTTTGTTCATAAACTCCTTACCTGGCACACAGCTGCTTGGAGCATTGCATCAAAACCCCCTTCGGGTGTATCAATATTCCCAGAAATTTTTTGTTTATTCACTACGTTTCTGAATTCTGCTATGTTGTCAGTCAGTGACAGCACATGAATATAACCGTGAGGAGGCATACAATCTAAATTATAATCACTGCATGAAAAAAACAAAATATAAAACAACAAAAACAAATAAAAACATGTCCATGAAATTCCATATTTTCCATTTGAAAGAGATGTGTATATTTCTTATCAACCCATAAAACCAAGTTAATAAGGAAGATGTATATACACACAGTAAAATAAACACTTAAAGAAAGAAAAATAACTGCACATGAGATGAATTTCAGTGGGAACCAGTTCAATTTTTTTTTTTTTAATAACAAATTTTTCTATTTTGTATATTCTATTTTGATATTTTGTATAAATTTATACAATATAAATATAATTACTATAGTCACAGTAAATATGTAGTATTTCTATATAGAATGAGAAGGAACATATCATGACAGATGTTATGATCTCATAAAATATATTATGCCTTCTGGAATGTCCATGGAATGATGCAGCTTCACTTTCTGTTATATTGACAAAGAGCTACCAGATAATAAGATCCTGTAATAAATAGCTTGACGCACAGGATACAGGATTCAAACCTAAAATCATCAAATTTAAGTTCCTACATCCACTATTAGGATGTAAAAGTATATAAAACCGATGCTGCCAGTTACCTCATTACACGGATGAGAAACTACACTTTCAGTATCTGGAGTTGTCAAATAATACCGTTTGAAATGATGTGTAAGGGAAGAAAGTATTAAGTTTAACATAAGCAAGCTAGTGCAATAGCACTTATACAGATTGTTGCTTTGTGACCCACTTACAGTAGTGGAATTTATGGCACAAGCTGAAGTGCTCAGCTGATTCAGAGATCCTAAACAGGGTTTATCTCACTCAAATTCTGTTGCATAGAGTCTAGTAATCTAGAATATTAATATTCTCCGTAGTAACTCTCCTCAGAGTAACCTATTCTCCTCTGACTCAATTTACTATCACTGAAGAGAAACTAGAGCTGTAAGAAGTTATACACCTGTAGACACCAACTTTAGGGCAAAATGAATCATGTCCTACAAGTGCACATTTACCTCTATCGACTATAGGTAGTCTAGATGATTGCTTCGGAAATAGATGTTTATATTTATCTGAGGACTTCCACTAACGTACAATTCAAAAGTCATTGAAATTAAAAAAGATGCTTACGGACTTGACAGAATTTTGGATCAAGTCTTTTCAGGAAAGACAATAACTAGCAAGAAGATGTGAGCAGTTCAATATTCATTTTTTTCAAGCATTACAGTTTACGTATATTTGAATTTGCTGTGAATAATTTTGTCCTGTAGGAGGTCTGGGAAGTGATCCTTCACTTCTCCAATCAGTGAATGCAATGTATAAAAGAAAGACATAACACGGAAAAAAGAAATGCAATCCAGAACACCATTCTCATTTAAAATGGGAGGTTGTTCACGTAACAACTGCAGAATTAGATCAAAGGATTGCTTTTATTCATTAAATAAGCTAAAAGAAAGAAAATGCATCACATTTACAAAAGTAGAAATTCTAACAGGTCTTAATGAATACAAGACCATACACCAGAAGAGAAGTCTTAGGCAATAAAGTACAAAAATTTGTAAAAAATCTATACCACATATATCCAAAATAACTGATAACATATCAACTTACTATACAACTAAATGCAAAACATATTCAAATATACCTAAGATGCATTTACATCTAGAGTTTGGAAAGTTATATCTGTATAGTTTGGTTTGTTTTTAATAAATCAAGCATTGCATATTTTTTCTAATACAGCAGCAAACTCTGTTCTTCTAAAATCACTCTTCAGATATTTCAAAAGTAATCACCATATAAAATGTTAGTATTTTCTTAAGGACCTTGCTGGAGAACCAAAGTCTAATGAAACAGACACAGATTTTAAAGAGCTTTGAAAATAAAAATGCTTGATAATTTCTCAGTACTAAAGTAAACAGAAACACTACATACCTGCATTGATTATGGATTCTACCTGGGTGAATGCTAATATAGGGTGACACAGTTTTATCCACATATGATCCAAATCCAAGTCGAAAATCAAGAGAAATATTCTCCATCTTTTTAGATAAAGCAAATCCAACTGAATTTAATTTTTCTATATTGTTGTGCATAGAGGCTGAGACATCAACTAGATAATAGAGGTCCACAGGGTATTTCTCTAGAGGACGGACTTTTAATATAAAGTTTGCTTCGCTTCCTGATGCAAAGGAAACAAATAAGTTTATAATTTTTTTGAATGTACACTTAAAAATACCTTACTTTTAGTTTTGCAGGAACCTCAGCATAAAGCTGTTTGTGTCAGCAAACAGAAACAAACAAACAAACAGTCAAGAAAGCCTCCCAACAGTGAATGAAACCTTGAAGCATAGTTCTAAAACAAGCTGTAAAGGGGCTCTCTGTAAAACATACTGCTTTGTTTCCCCTGAAGGAATATTGTGTGATTTATTGAAAAAGTTTGTCTTTACCCGTTTTCTTCTAAATTCCTACTTATGCAATCCCTTTGGCATTATACCCAATAGCAGCTATGACTCAAAAAGTACATAGCTTTGCATACAAATTGTGGTTAGTCACTTCAAGACTAGCAGTTTTAAGTATATTATTGCACCGCGCATACAAAGCATTTGTCATTTGTTTCTAAAACTACACATGCATACTACAAAGAGACCAGAGCCTGAAAAACTCAGGTCAGTTATGCTACAAGTTTATATCAGTCTGCTTCTAAGGAGTCAATGAGAATGTCCAGTAGGACAAAAGAAAAAAAAAAGTAGGTTCTAATATTTAAAAAAATCCATCTTTTGGCCCAGACAAAACAGAACTATCCTTTTATCTGAGGATGACAAATATCTGTCTGTTCCGCAGAATCACATCACATTCTCTTACGTAATAAAAAAAAAATTAATGCTTTGGAAACCTCTAAAAAATAGTCGCCACATTTTTGCTTGCCTAATATTCTGCAATGCCAGCAAAAAAGTGTGATGTGATTGGACTATGGGCTTTGTAGTTTCAGTAATGCATGACTTCAAAATATTCATTATTTCATGACACCCAAAGTTCTAGCTATCTTGCAGCAGAAGCAGATCTTTGCATGAATGTCAAATCTAATTTGGTACTACACAACAAAGACCTGGCAAAGGACAGGTGGAAGCTAAGCATTATAGAAGGATCATGCAGCTTTTCATCTAACCACTTTCTGAAATAGATTCACTAAAAAAATTAGTAAAATTTGACTTCTCTGTTCATGTCATTTGCTAGTGTAAAGGACATTGCTAGTTAAGACCATTGGATAACAAAAGTCAAGTACATTTAACACAACTGTATCCTTTTTTAATCAATCAAAGATCTGACACAATAAAGTTAAACATACAAAATACTTTTAAAATAGGCTCTCTACACAGTTTTTATTCCAATGTTCTTGGAACATTATCTACCTGAAAATCTCAGGAATTATCCACCTGAAAATTTCAGGATTTGTCTATATCAGGTCTTTCATGAACAAAACAGAATTTCAGAGTGTGGTAGCTTATGTGCTTCCTTTTGGGCTGTGTAAACTGAATTACTGAACCAGATCTCGAATTTGCATACAGCTAGATGCTAATGCAGCTTTTGTTTTCTCCTGTGTAAATCTTGACAGTTGGGATTTATGTAAACAGTGACAGAAAATCCAAATCAAAACAAAAATATCTTTGTTCTGCATGATTATTCTGCATCAAGTTTATGTTTTGAGGCACAGCTATACCTGTATATCTGTATATTTCCCCTGGGAATAAAATATGGCCAGAATGTAGTCTATATATGCTATAAATGCTATTCTTCTTCAGCCCTAGGAATTTCAGTCTTATGCAACCCTGAAGCGAGAGCTTCAGCAAAGCATATGGAACCCCAGACTCATTTTTACTGGTTAAAAGGTTAATGAAACCAAATTTTAGAGGGGTAAGTGTTCTATACGAATACAACGTGTCTCAAACCTTTCAAAAATAAATGTGATTATAGACATTTCTAGAGTTAGCTCAGCTCCTGAGACCTTTCTCACTACAAACTAGAGTATCATGCATTTCTTTGAAAGGAGAATGGGGAAAGGAGAGGAAGTGGTGCTATGTATTTCAGTTGTATTATTATACAGAAGATGGAAAACTAGAGTTCATTTGTGCTTTATGCTCCTGCAGTTCCTTTCTTTACAGGAAATGATCTTTTATACCAGGAGTTATCTTTCATACAGTGAAGATCAGCAAGTCATTAAGGTAGCTCACACCCTTCTTATTCACTTAATGTTTTTCTACCACAGACTGATCCCTTTTAAAAGATATACTTCTTTCTCTGACTAGTTTGCAAAAGAAAGAAAGAAAGAAAGAAAGAAAGAAAGAAAGAAAGAAAGAAAGAAAGAAAGAAAGAAAGAAAATTTTATAATGTGACACATACTCTTCTATCACCTACCCCTTCTCGTGTTGACTACATCCATTTGAAAGACATGAGACGTACACTGATCTGACTTTTGTATTAAGTGGTGGGCACACAGAGGTACACTAGAAAAATAGATCCATAAAAGGACTTGTAGATTCCTTTAGAGTCAGGCAGACAATTACTTCTTGGGCTTCTAAAATCAACATTCATATTCTCAAAACAGCTGCCTGCAACCAGAAATGACCCCTTCTGCTACAGACTGGGATCAGGAGCTCTTCAGTTTGATAAACTGGGCCAGCTCAGCTCAGTTGGTTTTCCTAAGTGAAGTGCTCTGCTGCCTGTCCAGGCTGTCAGGTCTGATCAAGACGAGCCTGATGGGACAGCCCCATGCAGGAGTGGGAACGTGCAGCCAATTCTGTTTTACACAACACTTCCATGGTCAAAGAATTTACTAAGATCCTGGCTGAACTAAGACTGATTCTCTTCTCTGTGTCAAGGTTTACCCGCTTTTCAAGCAAGTGCCCTCCTACAAAGTTCCTTCAGTGTATTTTATCCTTCCTGTTAAATTACCTTCATGTGGCATGGAACAATTAAATGTTCACTGGTAAAGAGAGTGCAAAAAAAGCAAGAATGACTTTATAGATTATTCTCATAACATTTCACTGGGAGAAGGGACATATGTCCCAAAAGTCACTCCACTGGATGTATCATCATTTCTTTCACTCTTCCTTTTGAAAGAACAGTGGTCTCAATATCAGGCCTTTTTAAAGGAGGAGGATAGGCATTAATATATAGGAGAAGGTTCAAGAACATTAAGTCTTAGGAGCTGCACATCCCCAAAGCACAGGATAAGCACTCGAGACTTCTTAATGGCTAGGCGACAGCTCCTTAGGTCGAGGATACTATTTTTAGGTGCATACTCTCTCTACTGCAGTCCTCCTAGAGAAATTAGGTGTTCACTTAGCTTTCGTAAATGAAATGTTAGGCATTGAATACCTAAGCCTCCTTTACAAATCCAACCCTTTCTTTCATACTGGCATTGGTACCTTCACAGTTGTCTAGTCAACGTGCTTTAAGGCAACCAAATAATCAAGAATCTTATCAAGTGCTGAATTTAAGAATTCTAGCCCAATTTACTTACAGTAAAGATTTGTAAGGAAAGTAATTTATATGCACTTAAGGGGAAAAAATTTTTGTAAGCAGCTAAATAAAAAGAATCAAGAAACCACAACAGAAAGGAAAACAGGAGAGTATCTAAAACCCTTTTTCCACTTATTGCTTGCATTATTTGGACCTTCAGCTGTGCTTGACAAAACGCTTATTGCTGAAAGCCGTCCTTGAGCACGGGAGTAACACCGTCATAGTCCTACAACGTCCTATAATGTTATAGCATCATTCTTCAAAATAATTATTCCAGCCATTTTATCACAAACTGTACTTAATATTTAATAATTAATAAATATTAATACATAATTAAGTTAATATATCATTAATATATAAGCAATTGATTATAATGTTAATGTTTTAGAGACAACCCAACCTGGACGCAGTTGGACTGAAACTTTTCCTGGTGTCACTTGTGTATTTGTTTCATGGTCACTCGGTATTGTTACATGAACTGTGGGATTTTCTACAAAATCTGATTGGCAGCCTCTTTTCATTAAGTTAAAAACAGTGTCACAGCGTCCTGTCTGTGCTGTGCCGGCCATGAAATCCTGTTTTATAAAAGACAAAAAGTACAAAACAATCTGAGCTGAAAAAAAACCAACTGTAGTATCTTCAAAAGGAATGCGAGAAACAAAATATTTAATAGTCTTTCAAACAATAAAATATGCTACTATAATTGCATAAATTGTAGGACTAGTTCATGGAAGCCATATGTTTTTAATAAGGCCAATGACAAAATACTTAAATTAGAAGTTAAACCTAATTGCTACAATGATTTTTTTCTACAAAGGACAAAACTTTTGTGTGAGAAAGAGGTTCTTGCACAACCAGAATAAACCGACTTTGGAGAAAAAGGAAACCCTGTACTGTCGTTATGTCACTACAAAAAGTTTTATGCCATGTTCACTGAATTAGTTCCACCAAGAAAATGTCATTCACACTACTTCAAAACATGTTGGTTTTCAGAGGAATCTACCAGTAATTTTACCTAAGCTAATATTTAAAAGTAGAAGCAGAAGTGAGCTTTAGATTTACCTAAGTTGAATTTGTCTACCACAGATATTTACGTTTTACCCCATACCCAAAATCAAATCCAAAGAGTAACTGGAATATATCATTTCAGTCCCCAGAAAGAGGAAGCTATGAACTACAGGACTGGAGAGTTTAAGATGCTACCAACATAAAAAGCCCCTGTAACAACAAAAAAATTGATTAGCTAAAGGATGATCTCAGAAGAAGCAGCATGTTCTTTGTTGCAGTGAAAGGGCAAAGTTGCCAAGATTGTGCCAATGCAATCCATTGCAAAATTCTTGCCTGACCACAAATCTGGTGATTAGCATGATCCTGATCATGCAGAGAAAAAAAAAAAAAAAGACTTGACAAGATCCTTTGTACTCTTTCAAAGCCTTGGTCCATCCCAGCCACAGCTGGAGATCAAACAATGGACAATCTCCGATATTTCAGAGGCAGATAGGGAAAATAAACAAAAAGTGCATGGAGCCAACCGTGCATTAGGGAATAGTTATCCAGAACCTAAAAGGACCAGGGAAACCCCTGAAGAATGAGACTGGATAGTCATGTATGGCTTAAAAGTACAGCTGGAAGTGCTGCAAGCACGCTGAACACGGTTCTGACATGCCCGTAGCCCCCAGCACCTACAGAGGTATGGGATAAACATAGGAGTCCACTGCACAGATGCCAACAACTACCACCATCACCCTCCTTGCTCATTCAGACTGCAGATATCTTTCAGAAGAAATGCTTTTGCTTAGCTAGTCTTTGGGCTTTTTGATCTAATCTCACATATAAAATTCAAAATAAAAAAGATAAGGATCTGGCAAATTCAAATCCCTAATAAAATATTCCAATAGCTACTCCTTCTAACAGGCAGGAAACGGTGTCCTGTTTAAAGGTTGAATTTGTTTCATCATTTGGTTTTATTTTTCTTTTGCCAGGAAGGCTGACAGATATTCTTATTCTCTTTGCTCTCCTTGCCAACAATTCCCCTATCTTTTCTACATGCAAAAGATTTAAACCATATAACTAGTCTGAATAACCCAAACTACTTAAGGGCATTAAGTCTTATTTTCTATGTTCCAGTTCATTTTTCTGGTCTACCTCTGACATAGCATTTCCATAACCTTCTTCAACACAGAAAACAGAGATTGTTTCTTGACTTGACTGCTATTTATATAGTATTTTTGATGTATACAGATTTCAAAAATTCAAGTTTTTTTAAGTGTGCAAAGAATTTAGCTACTCTTAGTGGTATCACTGACAACTGATACACATGTAGCATTTTATAAAGTTTATTGTGTGGGGGTATAAAGTCAACACATATCAGGTGTTCCTCAGGGCTGAAAAACATTGATTAGATAAACTAGCCACACTACGCTGAAAAACTACTCCTTTACCCTTTACTCAGGAAAAGTTCTCTCTGAATTAATAAGGGTTTTGCCATTCCACAAACATTGATGCTGCGCAGGTGAACTGAGTTTTAAAGGACAGTTTGACAAATGATTGACTTCCATGAACAAAAGATTGTCAGGATTGATGTGACCAGTGAGACGAGACACAGAGGAGAAGCCAAACTAGGTCAGTGCAGTGATCTGTGTGCCTGGTTAGAAGGAAGCTTATTGCATGTCTCTTGTGCTAGAAAGCTAAGAAGTGCTGTTCCAAGATAAATACAGATGTAGCTTGATAAAACTGTGTCCTTTGTAACAGAGGACATCAGATCACAGTAATGGACCACTCTGCACTGTAATCCATTGTGTCATATATGCATGTCGTTAGACTTCTCTTGTAAAACAGGCTCTCCATGCCTCTAATTATCCTTGAATTACTTGTCCTTATACTTGTTTCAGACTAAGTTAGTCATTCCAAGACACAATATCTCAGATAAAGCTACACTAATGCCTTATATAATTCCTTATCTCTTCTGGGCATACCCTAGGAATTTATCTGCCTTCTTTACTAAACTGAAAGCTATTAGAGATTGTTTGCAGGTGACCTTCAAAGTCATAAGCTTCAAAAGTATACAAGCTCTTAATTGCCAAAAAATAAAATTAAAAACCTTGCTCCTCTGAAGTGCTTAAAACGGTCCAGCTTTACTCAAAACAGTGTAATCCACTGTTTTTCTCCCTCACACAAAATTAGAAAACCTCATATTCTTATTGTTCCCCAAGGATTAACAATCCCAAAGGATTTCAGAATAATTCTTCCTAAAACGACAAATCTTTTGTGACAAGTCTCAGAATTGAGAGTTTCAAGTGTTAAAATAGAAGAGTATCATTTTTTTCCACTTGTGCCAGAGGTCATAATATACAGTGAAGTCAAAGTTAAATCCACTGTTAGTAAAACCTTTTGCTGAAATGCAATAAGCATATATGTATAGACTCGCTCTGATATAAAATAAGGGCTTAATATAAATTATTGATAAGTATTGATTTGCAGTCAAAAACTGGTGAACTCTGAAAGTTACTATATATCTGCCAAAGCTGTCTACAGAGCAGATGGAACACATTTAAAAGTTCTCACTTTATTTAAAATTACTGCAATTTTCCAAATAAAAGATTGTATTTTCTCTTTTGGAAAATATATATATTCCACATGATTTCTCAGGTGCTGTTTCCAAAGGTTGTCTAAAAATATTTTCCTGATATTTCTCGCTATAGTTTTCATAATTGTAAAGTCTTTTATCTTTATAAAGATTAGACATCTAAAATATAAGGTCAAAAATAAATAAACCAAATGTCATACCTCTTGAGCACACCATCCACACTCTGGACCCAAAGCAAGGCACTTTGTGCATGTTACTGCATTGGAAGTGGCACATCTGTTTTCTGCTGCAATGAAATATAAAACCAAACATTCACGATTCATGATGATATGTGGGAATTGTAAATACTTAATTTTAAACTAAGATTTCAGAAATGACTTCACCAGATTAAGAGTGATGACATGACAACATAGCAAACCAGAAGTAAAATAGGTCAAAGGCAGGCTGCTGGTGGTATTTACAGAAGTTTTTGTAACTACAGTCTAGAACTATATATAAGGATAGAATAAAATCCATTCTCAAGTCCAAATTTCTAAAATCCTGATTTAGCATAATTTTGAAATAAAAGTTTATCTTTTGGCATGGACTTTGCTGATTTACTGCCTAACAGAAAACGTTTACCAGGTAGCTTATCTCTCTGTAGATTCTTTCAAGTCCTCTGCACCTAATGAGTTATTCATTATTCACTCTGTATGGAACCCAAAATATTTTCTCACTTTCTATAAATATCCCCTCCCTGCATTTTCTGGACAGAACTGTATGCCAGAAGAAGCAGATTATTTTTCTTTCAGAAGCAAATACAAATTTATCCAGGATTAAGTGTGTCATAGATGGAAGACTTTTATTATTCTGCTGCAGAAATCGCCCCTACTAACAGGCCTATGCGCAGATAAAACCTTTTCACGTCTTTGTTTTATAGGTCACTGCTCAACTTAGCACTATTTTTAAGTCTTTGCTATAAAACTTTGGCAGTCAGAGTTGAGAAGAACATATCCTTTTCAAGGGTTTCAGTTAGCTTGACTTGAATGTCAGCATTAGTGTATTCTTTCAGCCTGTTCGGTGCAAGTAACTTTTACATCAGTGTGTTTCTCCACGCGGCAGAATCAGCCTGTCAAGAGTTATGAGGAAGGTACATAATCTGACTCTTCAGTACACAGCACAGTAGTAGTAGCGTTTAACGTTAAACATTGCTTAGTGGCATATTCAACGTGGCATATTCAAGTCTTATGATTATAAAACATGCTGGAAAAAAAAAGAATAACTGCATACTGGAAAGTCTATATCTCTTAACTGATCCATCATTATAATGTGCATATCATCATATCACATCAGATTGAACAGAGGTTTGCTTTTCATTCAAAGTTTTGACCAGAGGTACCGTGTCAGATTACTTCTTTCCAACCTGCAATAATGCAAACCATCTCTCTTTTTTGAGTAATGATAACAGTTTCTCAAACTGAAAAGCAGCATTAGGAAAACATTTACTAAAATATCTTTTTATCTCTGTTTTACTGATTTCAGCTATGAATTCAAATAGGAAATCTAGCACCACATGAACCCTAGTCCTCAAAAATATCACTCTGAATAACAGGTGATCCAAGGAACTAATCACAGCTTGCAAGTTATTAGCATCAACAACATATATATCATCATTGGTATAAACAAGACAGTAAAGTTTAATACAGCACAATTTCAGTGTTATACTAATAACATTTTAGGTTGGTGGGAATTTTATTAATTTCAAAGGTCAAACCTATATCTCCATTTCACATAAATGCTGTTTACAATTTTTGCCACGCAGTCAATATGAAAAGAGAAAAGTATATGAAAGGGAGAAAAACTGTTACAGATGTGAAAGAAACAATAAGCTGAAAAGCAGCCCAGAAAGGTGCTGGAACAGAGGAAAGTGATTAAGGGGTGGGAGACATGGACAGGAATAAATAAAGGAGGAGTTGCTAAGGAGAGTAAAAAGAACAAGACAAAATCCAAAAGGTTTTTGTTTGTTTATTATAAAAACAAACACAGCAAGTTTGACTTGGATGTGAAATGAGAGCAAGCTCACTCAACACTATTCTTTGATGCAATAAAACTTCTTTGCATTTATAAGAAGATGGTAGCTGTATTTTATGTACTGGAGTCTAAAGGACCAGACTTGGAGCCCATAGAAAATGTCCTTGCAAATCACAAGACATGAGAATGAGAGTGAGGATTCCAGGTTGGCAAAGTCATGCACAGGGTTGTAGAGTTTGCTGTAGACCTATTTCTAGACAGTATTTGTAAAGCACTAAGACAGAGGATGAAGACAGGTTGCTGAAGGAGGGAAAAATAAAAGGAACGTAAGTGTTCTAGGAAACATCACTTCTTATCTTCAGCTGGGTACCAAAGACAGCAGATACTGGAAGATATTATGAAAAAAAAACCCCAGATTATAGCAACAGATTCAGTGAAAGTGTCAAAGGACATGGAAAGATATGAATTGCTGATTTTCAGCATAGTAGCGGATGAAGACCACCACAGGGCAAAACAGAGAGGATATAAGGCATGAACTTTGAAGTTACCCATCAAGGAACCTCCACCTTCAAGGGACAGATCTATTCTGAGAATAAATAGTTGACAGGAAGAAATGAGAGACCTCTGTCTCTAGCTAAACAGATAAGGAATGAGTCTAATTCCTGGTCACTACTGCAATCAGTAAACCAAAGTAAACCAACAATGGAGTTTGGCCTAATTCTTTCCCACAGTAATTTCTGAGACTCCTCGCTTAAAACGTAGAATCCCAGCTACTTAATACAGGCAACATACCCTCCCAAATTGTCCCTTTCCCTAAATTAAATGCCTTTGAATATGTAACAAAACGGTATTAGTGTGTTGCACAACACATATGATGAAAAGAATAACAAATGTCTATGACTCGGATAACTGCATATTTCCAGATGCATCAGAAAACTGAATCTGCAAAATAATTATCCTGGATTTTTTTCATTAGTTTAGGTACTGAATCAATCTGAAGCCTATTTCAATTTCTTAATATAGTCAATAGTAGAAAATGTAGGTTCTTTCTCCATCTTTTTAAACTGCTAAGGCAGAAGAAAACAAGATTTTAAAATCCAGTTTGGGTTTTCAGTGTGATCATGGCAGACGAAATGCTTTAACAAATGAGATATATAGCATTGCTGGATGCAAATCTCTCCTGATAACTCTCCAGGCTTAAGAGTTCCGTTTTCACAACATGAAGTCACTGATTTGGCAATTGACAAACGTGGTACCACTGGCTCGAAAAACTGATTTTTTTGGAATAAAGAGAAACTTCAAAAAGGTTTATTAATACCCGAGACACATTCTGGCTACATTATTACCGTAGTTCCCAAGTATATAGCCCCTTAGAACAGCAACATTTATGGACATGTTTTCATTCACCAAATATTTATTATTTAGTTACAAGCCTACTCAGAAACCTTTACTGATGTAGTATAAACTTCTATGTTTCTTTAAAAAAATCATATACTAAAGCAAGAAACATTTTTTATGAGTTGGCTCAAGAAAGAACTAAGATTTTTCCTGCCACTTCACCAAAAACAGAGTCCAGACAAGACTAAGTTACTATTCAGCCAAAACTAAGGGCAAGTTTCTACTGGCTTAGTTATAACTGATGTATGCCAAAAGGTATTTTCAAAAACAAGGGCCAAATTTTGTGCTGGGAACTGCACAGGCATATGCATACAATAAAAAGTAAGTCCAGCAGGTTACACTATACTTTTCCAGCCTCCCCCACAAAAAGAGAGCTGTGCTCCAACTACGGCAGCTATTTACAGTGAACATAGGTGTGGCAAGCCTAAATTCTCAGCAATAAGAGCGATCAAGGCTGGGCAAAAATCATATACGTTATAATCATATCCTGCCTCTCTGCTATGAAAATAGCTTTACCATGATGAGAGTAATTATCTCAGAGATGGAATAATAATAATGCACACTGGGAGCTGAGAATGGATGTTTTAACAGGTTTTCAAACAGACAGCACTTTGCCAAAGTAGAGCTAAGAACTTGGATTTACATTAATTTCACTGTTGGTACATGTTTGTGCTATTTTTGGAGGGTGCACCCTTTGCTTCTTGAAAACAGAAAGCCAAAATATAACCAGCAAGTCCTGCTGCTTGATGATGATCCTCATTGTGGAACAGAATTTAAAGCAAGAAGGTATAAAATTATCTAGCCTCTACAGAACTTTTTCCCTTAAATTCTACACCCAATTGCCTTCTGTGGAAACAGGCAACCAGTCTGTCTCTCTCCATAGATAATGTGGCTTTCAATAACTCGGATGTAGCACCGCTTCTGAGGAAAGCTGCAGCTTTCATGCAGTATACTGCAGTTACCTTCACCTTTCTATCTTTCTTGAGAAGCTAAACTAAGTGATTCCTGTGGGGGGGACAGCCAGTAACTGCCCCAGATAACACACAGCTTCTCAACTCATTTTGGCTGAGAGTGCAGATACAATGAAAAGCATTGTAAAAATATTACGGAAGGGGAATTTTTTCCATGATTATTGTGTCTGACACTACTTGCTCAGATTACAGGGAAAAAATGAGAGCCTGCACTTTAATTGCCAACCGTAAAACCTAATCCTGGAATTAGGGTTCCCCCACTACACCTTTTCCTATCAAGCAATAAGCATAGTCTCTCTACTTTTTGTGCACAATGCCACGCTCTAAAAACATGCTTTGTCATAACCAGTTTTTCTGAGACATAAGTACACCTCAGAACTGAATTTTAGAGGCCATTTGCCTTGTCCAGAAAAAGAGATTTTTGACTTGAAAATTGTACATCTGTTATGCTTAATAAATTCCTGAAATTGCTTGGACAGAAATACCAAACAACTTTTCTGCTGTCTTTACTCCCTCTTTTCCCATTATACACTTGATTTGTTAATCTGTTTCACTGTTATATTGATGGTTGTCCACTTCAGTTTCACTATTCAGACAACAGCTAAGTTATATGTTAACTTGAAAATACCAGCAGCAAAACCCAAACCGAGTATGTAAGAGACATATATTTGCTATAAAGAAGAAGATGAACAAAAGAAAGTGCCAAACCTGACTGGCACTGTTAAATCCTGAGCCCATGAAAAATATGCCTGTAAGCACGGCAAGTGAACGAGAACACCTTCCCATTAAAAAAAAAAAAAAGGTATTCTTTTCTTATTAATCATTCAAAAAAAAGTTAGCGTTCCTTAAAAGAAAAGCGGCGTTTACTGAACGAGATAAAAACATAATGTGGTTACAAAAC